CATTGAGGGCAAGAGAAATTATAAGTCGCCTCTGTTTTGTGCTAGGGCCATTAAGGGTGTTTTCGGCCAACACAAGGGCAGAAAGTACATCAAGGCGCTGTTCACTGTACTTTTTGTCAGAAATTACTCTTTTCTTTAAATGATAAAGAGAAGGATAAGGGGAGGGCGAAGGGACAGAGAAAACCAGTATTTTGGGATTAGTAATTCAGAAAACACTTCAGCTAGTAAACTTTATTTCAGAGATTGACTAATATATTTCTTTTTTAAAAATTCCAAACTAAACCAGTTTTAAAGCCAAAACAAATTAATCCAACAATTAAAATTGGCATTCTAGCAAACCAAAGGATCCCTTATTTGGCATTTTCATATCCAAATGAGCATAAATGATGTCAGATTTTATTCTTGCCACTCTGAAGTTCCTTATAATTTATTCAAAGAGCAGCTTGTCTAGTTTTTATAATCACTGAGCTTAAAATTGATTGAAATTGCTTTCCCACCTTGGCTACAGCAATGGCATTGAGAGCCTGATGTTGAAGATGCTGAATTATATGTGTCACTGAATCAGCAACAGTCATACTTCTTCTGTAAAATGTATATTCTATTGCCTAAAGTTGTGCAAATTTCATAGCACAAAATAAAAACAAAAGTTAATATCAAACTCTGCAATCAATCAGTTAATCAATTCTCACACTTATTGTCTCATCTGCATACAAAAGGTTAAATTTAAAACAAGCTCTATTAAAACGAAAGAATATGATTTTTTTCAAATCAAAGCATATAATTTCTAACACAGTATGAACTTTTGAAAGAAGCATTGTTAAGTTATATTAACAAATCACAAACTATGGTAACAGTACAAAGATTATGCTAGATTTTTAGATAACTATATATTTTTATGTGTGTCCCATGAATAAGATAGACACTGTTGACACAAGAATGATTTGCTAAACCTTAGCATGAATTTGGATTCGGGTGTTGTATTTTAGCCATCCTCTAGAACTAAAAGATATTATTTTACTAAGATTAAAGAATGCAGCAAAGATAACAAAACATGCAACAATGGAGATATGCATACCTTAAATGGAATCAGACAAAAACATGTTTTTAACTTGCCATTTACTACAACTGTGCGATGTTTCACTTAACAGAATATTACTTCAGATTGTGAATATAATAGCTGTTTGCAACTCTTGAAAGCATCTGTAGAGGGTGGCCATGTGAGCCTATGAAAGGATGCAGCTGCTTTAAAGAGCACAGACAGGTGCTAGATTAATATGCTTGTGTGTTCTGAAGAATCATATTGAAGAGCTTACTGTCTAGTTACAACAATTACAGTTGTACAGTTACAATTAAATATGCACCACTTATCCTAAATTGTTATTGAAGAACCATTGTTAATATTTGTGTCAGTGAGGATATGCAAACACCTCGACTTACTTTGAGTAGTTCCACAAGCCTGCATAATGCTTTAACTGAGGTTTTTGTCATTGGCTTCTGCATTGACATGTGCAGATTCATTGTAGTTCTGATAATATTTCCAAGGCTGTAAGCATAGAGAAAGCCCTAAAATGAGAAAAATGAATCAATTACATCTTTCTTGTATCATTATAAATGTGCATTTCTAAAACATTTGTCAATTTCTTGACTCTTTGTGGATAAGGTCAATGGCAGTGACCGGTGCAATCTCTTCCCATATTCAATGAGACATCTTCTGTCCTATCAATACTGAAGAAATTGATTCAGACACCTCCTGGCTTTTCTGGCGGGGGCAACTGGTGGTCAGTACTGTGTTTCCCCAAAAATAAAACAGGGTCTTATTTTCTTTTGACCCCCGAAATAAGCACTTGGCTTTATTTTCGGGAAGGTCTTATTATTTTTGAAATGCAGGAAGCGGCGAGCGTGGTCAGCTCATGGCTGCTGCTATGTTGCAATATTTTCGGGGAGGGCTTATTTTAATGCATGCGCTTAAAAGCGCGCAAATTAAAGCTTCAAATTTTAAAATTTTAGTAATATATTAAAATAGTGATATATTAAAACATATTTTGGTGCCTAGACACTGTCTTTCTTAAGGCAACAGTTATTTACAGAAATATCATTTTATCAAGTTAATTGATCAGGGATTTATTTATTTTTTGCTTTTAATACTAAGTAAGTATTCTACCTTTTGTTTTTTTCCCCTGTTTCTTACTAACATCATCATATAGTTTTATCTGTGCTCATTTTATGGAAGTTTTTTTTTAAATTCGTACTTGAAATTTATAAAAAAAATGTATTTTGTATCGGTCAATGACAGCAAAAAAAATCTATTCATTCATAACTTCTAACCAATTTGTTCATAAGAATTGGGGATTGTATAATATGGATCTGATTGTATACAGTATAGACAGTATTTTCTTATTGGTTTTTGAAACTAAGCATGTACACACCTGTATAAAAACATTGCATCTATTACTGAGATCTTCAGCAAACTTATCCATCCTTTGTTCCCTTGACAAAAGAGATTCCATTTTCATCATCCAGGAGCTCACAAATACATAATAAGTTTGCATCTCTCTAAAAAGAAAACAAATAATATTTTCTTAAACATTTTGATACCATACTAAGATTTGGAAGGCTAAACACAGATTTGAAATGGTATCTGAATTCAGAAACAATGGCTTGTTATCATGCCAAACCTACTAGCTCAAAACAGAAACTTGTTGGGGGAAAAAATAAGTGTTTACCCCCCAAACTTACTTTGTAAGCAACTGAGCCTTTTGCTGTAAAAAACTTTCTCTCTGTAATTTAATTGCATGAAAGCTTTTTCTGTCCAGAAGCTTGGCAACAGCTGACATCTTCTGAATCAAAAAGTTGTCAGCAAACCAGATGACATTAGCTGATAGTGTGATAGCCGGCACCTATAGCATTAGCAGAAAAAATTTAGGTAAGCGAGAGAAAAGTATCTTTTAGAGTAGGTAATAGATTTTCATAAATGTATTCCAAGACTCTTAATGAACCATTCTTTTACTACACAAATTTTACAATTATAAAAATGTTCTAATTTTACTTAGTCTAATCTCAGTCTCATATTATATGACACCACTTCATTCCCCAAAGTTATTTACTCAGCATTTAAAAACAGTCTTGAGCCTATACAATATTTGCAGAAGAAGCATGGACATGGAAACATTTGGCATTTTTAATGAGATAAATGAAAAGGAGATAACATCCCTTACTAAGACTATTCATAAATCCAGATACTTTTTTGAAGGAGGAGCTAAGCCATACATGAATAAATAATAGCTCTCACTGAAATCCATAGAAATTTGTTGTAGTTATGACTAAACTATTAACTTGATAACACTTATTGTCGAATTACTAGTCATTCTACACAACAGCATTACACCAAAACATGCACTTCATCCAAACACTCTAAGCACTATAGATGTAAAAATACAATATTGCAGATTCTTTAACTGTGGTTGGATATAAAATTTGTTTTGCAAATCTCTTATGCAAATTTTCAAATTATGACAATAAAATCTAGTTATTATAGACAATTTGAGGGAAGGATATCGATTATTTATGAAAGTAGTCCAACAAAAAAGTACACCACAGTGCCAATATTTATCATTTATGAAATAGTACTTCATTTGCACTAGGACATCACCTCTCTTGTTTGATAAAACGATGTAAATTGTTAACAGAGATTTGAACTGTTGTATGCAAAGCCTTTTGTATTGAAGTTCACTAAATCAAGCTTTCATTCTAGTAAAGAGCAGCACATTACTTGCTGAAACTGTCAAAAAGATTGAATATGATCATAAATTTAATTCTGGTTGTTATTTGTTGCAATGTCATTCACAAACACTTTATCTAATTTGTATGTTGGTTATCAAATTCTAAGTTCGATAAAAGTTACAAGCAGTAAAATATTCACCTTTTTGCAAATGTCCAGTAACAATTTGTAAAATTTCTTATCTACAGTTCGAAAAATCTGAAAATGTAGTACAAAGAGACCACAAATTCCAACATACTTATCTCGCTGGTCAATTTCAGAAGGTTCACCTTAAACAAACAGGCACAAGAATTAGTTTTTGAAATTTACCCCAAAATATAGAATCTTATTAATATTAATATAAAAAGGTTCTGTTCTGCATTACCGAGTTTAGCTTCAACATTTGCAAAAATTGTGCGAATACTATGCGTAAACTCCTCAGCAAATATGCTGTTCTTTGAAACTGACATGCCTCCATTGAGACAATCAAATTGCTGTTCTATACAAGCCTGAATAAGAGAAATAAAAGCAGTTTACAGTATTAGTATTAATGAGAACACAATCATATTCAAAATTTCATTAAAAACAAATAATAGCATGTGAGTCTTACTGTGTTCTATCGAAATAAACGTTTTATTGGAAATTTAAGAGTATTAACATCTATTCATAGGGATTGTTGGTTGATCATCTCAATTTTTTTATTTTTGTTATATTCAATATATAAATTTATGGACTGAAATCAGCAGTATTTATGGGACCCACAGCTCATTTAGTTTTACTTTGCTTCCTTCTTACCAGAAGTGAGTAAAAGCAGCCAGAAATCACTGTAATCTATATGATGTTCAACCACGCTTTTAAATTTGTGATTTCCAGTAGCAATAGCAATAGCACTTAAGACTTATATATCACCCCATAGTGCTTTGCAGCACTCTGGGCAGTTTACAGAGTCAGCAGGATCTAGGACAACTTGCTGTGGCTAATTCGCTGCAGTCAACTCATGGCCAACTCGCCATTTACACTAATAGCGAAGAAATGGTGGAATGCAATTAATAAAGAAAGGATGCCAAAGGAGGGACAAAATGAAATGTGAATGACAAAAATTAAAATAATGCTTTAATTATTTTAAATAATTAAATTGAATTATTGAGTTGTCCAGTAGCGAGTTGGCCTGTGGCGAGTTGGCCCTCGATGAGTTGGCCGTGGCAAGTTGGCTGCAGCGAATTGCCCAATTTCAGAGTCAGCATCATGCCCCCAACAATCTGAACCCTCATTTTACCAACTCTGGAAGGATGGGAAGCTGAGTCAAGCTTGAGCCCTGTCGGGATTGAACTGCAATATCCTCCCCTTGAAAGTGAATTTAAAAAAAAACAAAAACAAGTGGAAACAAAACCTTTCTGA